GTTTAGGAGACTTTATTACAGGGCTTGGGGGTTTAGGGTTTAGGGTTAAGTTTTTTAGGGCTTTTTTGGGTGGAGCATGGGCAGGGCCTGGGGCTTCGGGTTATGAGGTATGCAGTCGGTGGGACCCCGATGAACCCTAAACCCTAATGTTGTTTTTACCCTAAACCCTGCATGCAGCTTCGGCCCCTAGTCCCCAAACCCTAAATCCCTCAGAGCACGCCTGGTGTTCTTGGGGGCATACTCCTGGCAGGCAACGCTTAAATCTCTACAAACCATAGGGTTTAGGGTTTAGGGTTTAGGGTTTAGGCTTTAGGGTTTAGGGTTGAGGGTTTAGGGTCTAGCCAAAAAATGGACGCTAATCTTCCTACGAAGATAAGGCAACACAAAAACATCAAGTTCATTCATTGGCTAACTAAGACACCACGAACTCGGGGCTTTCTCGCGCTGAGGGTATGTCAGGGGCCCATGGGCAAAGAAATCCAAAAGCCTAAACCGTACACCCTAACCCCGAAACCCTAAAACCCTAAACCCTACTCGGCCCTAAACCCTCAACTGCCTTGGTGGGCTTGCTAGTTCTTTTTGATGGGCTTCGAAGGGAGTTTCGAGGCATTGGTGAGTTGCGCCTTTAGGCACACAAGTAGGGTTCACAAATTTTAGTTGGGGGAAATAATTCTCACCTAAGCATTATTCCGGGTTTAGGGTTGAGATTCGACTGAAAGCCACTTTAGGCCTCGTATATGTCTACTTCTCGCATGGGGGGGGGGGGGGGGTCCCTACTTGTAGGTAGCTAAATGCGAGAATTGTATGGGGTCTTGTGTGCTGGAGATCAAAGGACCCAAACATTCGCCGAAGCCTCTCGAACCCCATGGGGCTCTCCGCCAAAACCCTAAACCCTAAACCCTAAACCCTAAACCCTAAACCCTAAACCGCCTAAACCGTCTAAACCTACATAAGGGACTACCAAGTAGGGACATTAGGCCTCGACTAGTTCGCATTTTGGGGTTTGAGGGTTTAGGGCTTAGGGTTTCGAACGAGCCATAAACCCTACTAGGCTTCATTTAGTCCCCAGACTACACTACCTACACCCTTGACAAGGGCGTAGGTTTCAATTCACGAATATGCCAGAATGGCGACTGCCAAGAAGACATCCAGCATAACACTCACAATACTTACAAGGAACCCTATATACACCCATAACAGTAATCAAGACACTACACTCTAAATACCTAAACCCTAAACTCTAAACCCTAAACCCTTACAAATAAAGGGCTTGAGTACAAAACAAACCACCATTTCATATGATCCCTGATCGATGGCTGCAGCGTCCTTAGGATGCAGCTTCGAAGGGAAGGACTCGGGCAGCAAATGATGTTAGAAGCCGACAAGGCTCCGGGGAAAAAGGAGTCTAGGGTTTAGGTGCTGAGCTTCAGCTACATCGCCTAAACCTCAACATCCCCGGACCCCCGAATCGCCGAAACCCTAAACCCTAAACCCTAAACCCTAAACCCTAAACCCCAAACCCCAAACCCTAAACCCCAAAGCCCTTCTCTCCTTGTAGAGGAAGCAGGACAGCTGTGAGTCGTCCTCGGGGTTGTCGTAATTCGAGCGCCTCGGGTATAGAAAGGCTTCTGGTCAGCCAAAGAACTGTATCTAACCTGTTTAGGGTTTAGGGTTTAGGGTTTAGGGTTTAGGGGTTTAGGGGTTTAGGGGTTTCGGGACCTGGTGGCGCAGCAACCATATTCTTGTTAAGGGTTTGGGTTGGCTAGTTCTACAAGGGAGAGGGTGTAGCTGCGGGGGACCGAAACCCAAATTACCCAAAGCGCCTCTTCTGGGACGTACAAGTGGAGCCAGCATGACTAGTTCAGGGAAAATCTTAACAATTTAAATGTATACTCCTTATTGGGTTTAAGGACCCTTAAAATGTAAAATGGCACCCAGCTATGACAAAGATGGTGTGCCAAAAGGAAACCCAATAGCTAGACTTGCAGACTTGCGCAAAGTAGTGGCCAGGGTGTAGGGTTTAGGGCTGAGCCTTGCCTCAGCTTGATGGATGGGCTAACCCCTAAACGCTAAACTCTAAACCCTAAACCCTAAACCCTAAACCCTAAACCCTAAACCCTAAACCCTAAACGCATTTGGGCGCTGTAGGGTTCTCCTAGGCTGCTTTTGTGCTTGAGGTCTTGGGGTTGGAGGGGAATAGGGTTTCGGGATATAGGGTTTGCGGTTTCTGGTACAGGGATTAGGCGGGCTTTAGGGAGTATGGTTCATGTTGCATTTGGAGGTTTCAGGGTTGGGACGTTGCCCTAAACCCTAAACCCTAAACCCTAAACCCTAATCCCTGAACCCTAAACCCCTTGGGGTGTGAAGGCTTCGGGCTTAAAGTCTGAGGCTGCGGCAGGGTGAAGGCGTGGCAATCTGTGCTGTCGCAGCCCGCGCGGCAAGACCTAGTTTCCAGGTTTAGGCTTTAGGGTTTAGGGTTTGGGGTTTAGGACTTAGCATGCCCTAGCCCTAAACCCTAAACCCTCAAAAAAGAGTCATGACTGCGTGCTTGTCGGAACTGAAATTAAAGTCTACCCGAAACCCTAAATCGACCCACAAAAGAAGTCCCACTCTCGTGGCTGCACTTTGGCACCTTGCTAAAAGTTTTCCCTAAACCCTAAACCCTAAACCCTAAACCCTAAACCCTAAACCCTAAACCCTAAACCCTAAACCCTAAACCCTAAACCCTAAACAGGCGGCTAAGGAACCAAGGTTGCGGTAAAGCGCCGCAGCCCTCAACACTGAGCCCTAAGAACCTCAAGCCCTAAAGTCCTAAAAGCCCTACATAGGGTTTAGGGTTTAGGGTTTAGGGTTTAGGGTTTAGGGTTCAGGCCCAAAAAAACGTAAACCCTTGTCTCCTGAAACCCAACATTCGCTACAACAATGAAACCTTAACCCTAAACCCTGAGCCCTGAGCACTAACCTCTAACAAACAGCTGGCAAATTACGCCAAATATGCGGCCACGTTCTGCTGGAAACCCAAGTTAAGAAAACCCCAAACCCTAAACCCCAAACCCCAAACGGTAAACTCTAAACCCTAAACCCTAAACCTTACACCCTAAACCCTAAACAACCCCAAACCTTCGAGGCCTGCGGCCACGAATCGTTCGAAACCCTCAGGATCTTGGGGCTTAGGTTTAGGGGTGTAGGGGTTGAGTCGAGGGGTTTGGGGTTTAGGGTTTCGGATTTAGGGTTTAGGGCTTATGCAACCTCAAAGCTACATCCCCCAGATTGCGTCAAGACCACTCTGCCGCCACATCCTTCGGGAACTGGCCGATGATGTTGAATTTCCAGGAGAGGATGAGGCACTTGGAACCATCCTGAGATGAGGGTTCTGTTGCCCTAAACCCTAAACCCTAAACCCTAAACCCTAAACTCTAAACCCTAAACCCTAAACTCTAAACCCTAAACCATAAACCCTAACCCTAAACCCTAAACCCGAATCCCTGAGGCATTTCCAACACATCTTTAGAGGTCGGCCTTGGGTGCGTCAGGCACTGGCAACTGTACCTGTGAGCATTTGAGGTTAGGGTTAATGATTAAGGGTTAGGGGGCTGGGGGTTAGGGGTAGACCCCAATTCAGCCCTAATTTATCCCTAAACCTTCTCTTGGGTAGAAGCAAAAGTAAAGGCAGACTGCTCAACCCTAAACCTTGGGATGTTCCCCCTTTGTACCAACAGTCCTTAATCGGGATTATAGTATCCCCCCCCCCCCCCCCCCCCCCCCCCCCCCCCCCCCCCCCCCCCCCCATGAATGATAGTATAAGGGGGAACATCCCAACCCTAAACCCTAAACCCTAAATCCTAAACCCTAAACCCTAAACCCTACCTAAACCCTAAACCTTAAACCCTAAACCCTAAACCCTAAACCCTAAACCCTAAACCGTATCCTCTGAGACTTTGTCTCCTTGCTTCAGAGCGTCATCGCACTGCATGCCCACGTAATGATCCTCACCGGCGGCCGAAACCCTAAACCCTGAACCCTACCCTCTGAACCCTAAACCCTAAACCCTAAACCCGAACCCTAACCTCCGAACCCTGACCCCTAAACCCAAACAAACAGCTGGCCTAAACTACCCTACGCCCAGTTTTGAGGGCTTGGGGGGTTAAGGGAGGCTTTATAGCAGAACCCCTACACCCTATATAAACCCTAAACCTAAACCATAAACCCTAAAACCCTGCTGCTTGATAGGTTCTGTGGGCTTCGGGGTTATGGTCAGGGCCTGACAAAGCAAGCCAAAGTAAGAGGGAAGTACATCCAACGTTACCCTAAACCCTAAACCCCAAAAGCTCTCTACGTAAGGGCGCAGGGTGCAAGGCTTTGGGACTAAGGGACTTGTAGAGGACTTGGGGACGAATAACTAAACCATCTTAGGGTATTGGTTTAGGGTCTAAAGTTTAGGGTTTACGGTAGTTTGCTGGTCCCTTGGTATGGGCCATTAAAATCGAACCCCTGATATACCCCTTCATAGGGCCCTTACCTCAGAACCCTCTACGGGACCAAATTAAGGTACCATGTAGCGGCCCTGATACCCTATAAACCTTAAGCCCTCATTAGGGACATTGGGCGACTTTAGCGCACAATGCAGCATTCCAACGAACGCGCCCCCCAAAATAAATCCGAGACTTGCTGAGCTTTTAGGATTTCGGGTCTAGGGTTTAGGGTCTACCTTTTTCGAGTTTAGGGTTTCGTGGTTTAGGGAAACCATCGGAAGCAACACCCCATAAACTCTAAACCCTGAACCCTGAACCCTAAGCCCTAAACCCTCGTGCCTGATGCTTGAAGATCCGATATTCGCCTGAGCTCCGAGGCGCGAGCCGTGGGACATCGGCGTGGCAACGGGGCATGGGTTTAGACTTTCCCTAAGGCTTCTATATGGGTGTTTACGAAAATCGGGGGCCCAAATATAGATCCCCGAATAGCAGGATCCCCTTATAAGAAGGACCCCACTAAGGTACTTGGGGCCCGAAGCTACTTTATAGGAAGCCTTTGAACTTTGACGTCCAACCCTACAAGTAGCAGCCTTCAAGTTAGAAGTAGGGTTTTCAGGGTCCTGAGGAGGGTGATATAAGTCTGGCATTTCAGGTGGTCGCTCCCCAAAACTATAAGACCTCTAAAGGCACACGCACCCAAAGTGTTCAGGGCTTAGACAAGCCTGCGCCCGTGGCTCCTGGATGCTTATTGCTGGAGTGGTTTGGGGTACATGCAACCCTGCATATCATCCGAATATGAAGCTATACATCGCTGCTCCTGAAACCCCCTCTAACCCCAAGAACCCTGAACCTTGCACCCGAGCCCTCCGAAACCCGAAACCCGAAACCCGAAACCCGAAACCCTAAACCCTAAACTCCAAACCCTAAACCCTAAACCCGAATTCAGCCGGCTTTCGGCCCGCAGTTTCGAAGTCCTCGCAGGTGGTGGAGCGCCTACAGCATGGATTCCTTGGCTGAAGAGGTTCGAGGGCGCTAAGGGGTTTTAGAGGTTTAGGGTTTAGGGTTTGGGGTTTAGGGTTTGGGGTTTGGGGTTTAGGGTTTGGGGTTTAGGGTTTTAGGGTTCAGAGGTTCGAGTTTCGAGTTCTAGAGTTTAGGGTGAAGAAGTTTCGGGCCTAGAGGGTTTTAGGGTTAGGGCTAAAGGTGTTATCGGGTATCAGGTTCAGACTTGAGGGTTTAGAGTGTTTGAGGGTTCCAAGAAGTTAAGTATTTGGCGTTTAGGGCATTAGAGTTCATGGCTTCAGTGCCTTAGGGTCGAACGTTTAGGGTATGTTTTTTTTTTTTGTCTGCGCGCGCGCGCGTGCGTGCGTGCGTGCGTGCGTGCGTGCGTGCGTGCGTGCGTGCGTGCGTGCGTGCGTGCGTGCGTGCGTGCGTGCGTGCGTGCGTGCGTGCGTGCGTGGTTGCGTGGTTGCGTGGGTGCGTGGGTGCGTGGGTGCGTGGGTGCGTGGGTGCGTGGGTGCGTGGGTGCGTGTGTGCGTGTGTGCGTGGGTGCGTGTGTGCGTGTGTGCGTGTGTGCGTGTGTGCGTGTGCGGGGTGCGTGTCCTGTGCGTGTGATTGTGCGTGTGCGTGTGCGTGTGGCGTGGGGCGTGTGCGTTGCGTGTGCAGTGCATGTGCGTGTGCGTGTGCTGTGCTGGGCGGTGTGCGTGTGGGTGTGGGTGTGGGTGTGGGTTTTTTTGGTGTGTTTGTTGTGTGTGTGTGTTTGTGTGTGGGTGTTGTGTGGTTTGTGTTTGTTGGTTTTCGGGTGTGGGGGGGGGGTGGTGGGGGGGGGGTGTGGGGGGGGGGGGGGGGGGGGGGGGGGGGGGGGGGGGGGGGGGGGGCGGGGTGGGTTAGGGTTGAGGGTTTAGGGTTCTAGGGTTTTAGGGCGTAGGGTCTATGGCTTAGTTTAAGGTTGATAATTGTCAACTTGTAGAGATGCCCTTATAAGATTAAAGGCATGAAGCGTACAAAATAATGGAGGAAAGGGAAAAGACAAGGTTCATAGAATGAAGAGAAAAATCGCAACGAATGAAGTGAATAAAGGACGTACAATATGCTACTAATACATGGGCCGTTTAGTACATCTTCTTGACATCCAATGTCCATTCGCTTCGCTGATCCACTTCTTTCATTTGGAACTTGGACATCTGTCAATGGGGTCTGTTTTTCGGACTTCTATGGGGTGCATTTGCAAGCGACTGATTTCCCCGCGCTTTTTAAATTTTAATGTAAGGGCTAATCATATATGAATAAAGGGCCATGAGATAATAAATGTTCCAATTTCATATTCATTTTGGCAATAATGTATCGTCGTTCCTTTCATTCGTATGTTGATGTCATTCACGAGTTTACAAAACTCATTCGCAAGAGCGGCGTGTGAAAACATCATTCTTGCGCATACTCTTCGTTCGCGCGTTCTTACAATTAAGCAAATTTATTGCGCGCTCTCAGAATATCATTTGCATTCACGTCTCTCTTCGTACACTCATTTCTCATTCGCTAGTACATTGGGAGCGCGCGATAAAGGATGTTTACGGCGCGCTTAATGCTGTACAAAAAACGTGAGTCGTGTTCACGCATTCCTTCACCTCTTTCCCTTTTTCTCAATTCATATTCATAGTACTTGGGGGTCCAGAAGTGGGGTCTTTGGAGGTGAGACAAAACGCTTAGCAACAGTTCACGAGTTCACTGATACAATACAAAAAGGCCCTTGGCTTTGAGACAGGATTTTGGAAGATTCGAGCCAGCGAATCCTCGTCCTCGTCCTCCTCCTCCTCCGAATTTTTCGTTCTCAATCAACGACTCCGCCTCCGAAACCGCGTCTTCCTCCTCATTCAGGCCTTCAAGCCGCAGGCACAAGATTTCCTGAGCACAACAATTCACGATGGGCCTGTCCCAGCTTGGTCGTTCGGGGGGGGGGGGGGTAGCATGCAGACTCACAGTCTGCCAGAGAACGAGGAGCAAACTCAAACACGCATTCAGACACTCAGGATCAAAAAGAAGGCGCCGGCGCAGCCACCTTTGGCTAGGCTATGCACCACACTACAGCTGAAGCACCTGGCCGTTCAGCTAGATCGCCAACGAGCACGAAGCCCAACCTTGTCAAAAGGGGGGTGCTGCCCCAGCGCGCAGCGAACTACATCAAGGCAGCCTGGCCGCCGGCCCACTTGGACCACCATGTCTCACGGTCTGCCAGCGGGCCACCAGGCCCAGACTACAGATTTCTGTGGGAGGCCCACACAGCTGGCAGGCCTGGATCTCCTCAGTATCGCGCCGAACCCAATGCGCAACCTACTCCCCAAGACGATGAATGCCCGGCCCAACCTAAGGTCCCCCACTCTCAATTCGATTCAAGATCAAAGAACAGTATAGGAAACAAGAACGTCCAAGACTTGCGCAGAGGGTGAAGGCACTGAGGTCATAATTTTGCAATTGCAAGATTTGCATGTGGACGTCGGACGTGGAACGACTGAGGTTATCAGCATCAGAGGGACCAAGATTTGCATGTACCACTGAGGTTATCGGTGGAACCATGTTCCTAAGAAGAGCCCGCTTCCCGCTGGCGCCTGCGGAGCCATGGGTGAAACGGGCAGTGCCAAAAACAGGGCGTTTCTCAAGACAGGGATACTGCCGTCCCTTGTTATTATCAGTCACGACAAAACCATCAGAAGCTCACCAGCATGCTGAAAGGAATCTAAGCCCCTAAAACCCTAAACCCTAAACCCTAAACCCTAAACCCTAAACCCTAAACCCTAAACCCTAAACCCTAAACCCTAAACCAAAACCTCTCCCTAAACGGAGGGGGGGGGGGCCCTCGGAGTTGCATCAGAGCCTGTTCGAAGCTCCTGGACCTCGACCTCGGAAAACTGGTGGCCCTCAAAGCCCTGAACCCTGAACGCTCAACCCTGTAGGCGCTCCTAGACGGTAGGAGCACGGCACTGCCTTACATGTTGGTTTCCCGATTCCTGCGTTTTGGGCTCTGGGAATGTTTCGCATGCAGAGGGGCGGCTTCAGGCTTCTTGGGGTAAAGCTCTAGGACAAAGCCCTAGATGCACTGAGCCCTGCGAAGGCTAAAGAAGCCAAAAAACTCAACCCACTCCTTTTAGGGTTTCGGGTTCAGGGTTTATTAATTAGGGTTTAGGGTTTAGGGTTAGGGTTTAGGGTTTAGCGTTTAGGGTTTAGGGTTTAGGGTTTTAGGGTGTGGCGTTCAGGGTCTAGGGTCTGAGGGATAGCGGCTCGAGGATGCCCAAAGCTAGCGACCAAGACACCCCCCCAGTTGCAGATCCGTCCCCCCTAAGGGTCCATGTACCAAAATATGGGGTTTAGGGTTTAGGGTTTAGGGTTTAGGATTTAGGGCGCCTAAATCGGGAATAGTTGGGCCTCACAGTCCTTCCTATCTACGGACTTTGAGGCCTAAGGCATAAGATGCATGGACCCTTGGGGCTCTTGACGGTTTGCGCATTAATTAGGGTCCAGGGATTTTAGGGGTCCAGGGCTTGGGGCTTAGGATTGAGGATTTCGGGGTGGCTAATTCCTAAACCCTAAACCCTAAACCCTAAACCCTAAACGCTAAACGCTAAACGCTAAACGCTAAACCCTAAACCCTAAACCCTAAACCCTAAACCCTAAACCCTAAACCCTAAACCCTAGCTAGCAAGGCTGGTGGACATTTGCTGCCAGGAGTCTTGCGCCCGCTGATGTCGATGCTGCAGAACCTGGGCCGAGGCGCGGTGTGCATGAGGGTTTAGGGTTTAGGGTTTAGGGTCCAGGGTTTAGGGTTTAGACGGCTTAGAGGTTGGAGTTCAGAATTTAGGGTCTAGGGGTTGGAGTTCAGGGTTTAGGGTTTAGTGCTTCGAGTTTGGGGTTGTCTGGGCTTCTGTGGTCGTATGTCAAGAGCTCTAAGGTGGGCTTAGGTGGGTTCGGGCTTCTAGAGTTTAGGGGTCTTAATCCTGCTGAAAACATGTGGTCACTTCTCCAAAACCCTAAACCCTAAACCCTGACCTCAAACCCTAAACCCTAAACCCCAAACCCCAAACCCTAAACCCTAAACAAATATGGTCCCTTTGGTTTGGGGGTCTTAGGGGGTTTAGGGGGTCTAGGGGGTTTAGGGTTTTAGGGTTTTAGGGGTGTAGGAGGGAGTAGTGGGGAGTATTCGGGCACCTTTGGGTTGCACACCCCCCTTGAACCCCCTCTCTTAACAGCTCTATGACCCTAAACCCTAAACCCTAAACCCTAAACCCTAAACCCTAAACCCTAAACCCTAAACCCTAAACCCTAAACCCTAGCAGTTCAGTACAGCAAGCCTTGGGGCTGCGCCTCGCTCAAGCTGAAGACTCTCAGAGGGAAGTCTTCCTTGCTGGGCACATGCCTCGACTCCAGCTCCAACTCCAGGCGAGCGCCCCAGCGATTGAAAGATCGCCCAATCCTGTGAATGCGGGAAGTGACCCCACCTGAACACAGATGCCCTCTTGCCGCAATATGTGGGTTTACTCAACGTGTAGACGAAGCTTGCCCCAGTGGGTGGAGTATCATCACCGATGAAGCTGCGACGCCTCGGTCGGCGACCCCTCACGGCGGAAAGCCGCTGCAGGGGGCTCGTGGAGGTCCTTTCCAAACGCGCTACACCCCTAAAGCCTCAAAAACCATGTTAGCCCTGACCCCTAAACCCTAAACCCTACACCCCCAAACCCTAGTCCCTGAGCCCGCAAACCCTAAAGCCCCAAACCCTAACTAAACCCTGACCTCCCCAAGCCCTACAAGCCCTGAGCCAAAGAAAACCCTGACGCCCGAAGACGCAGCGCACTTCGTGGTGTTCCCAAACCCTGAATTACTGAAAGCCTCTAGCTCTAAAACCCTTACACCCTTCAAGCCCTAAACCCCTAAACCTGCAAACCCTACATCCGCCGAAGCCCAAAACCCTAAATCCCCAAAACCCTAAATCCGGCCTTGTGGAGTTCTCTTCGGAGCACCACTCCTGGCAGACCGCCTTGAAGTTCCTCAAAAGGCAGGCGAGAGGTTTCTGCGATCAGGTTCATGGGCATTAGGTCTCGCGGGCATTTAGGGTCCAGGTTTGGGGCTCATGCTTTTTGGGTGCAGGGGGGGGGGGGGGGGGGGGGGGGGGGGTGGGCGTCAGAATTGAAAGTTAAAACCCCAAAAAAACTAAGCACGACCCGCGAAACCCAGCAGGGGGGCTTCAGGAAGGAGTCTTGCCGGGCTGTGGGCCGGCTGTGAGCGGGGCGTAGCGTTTGTGCAACCTAAACCCTAAACCCTAAACCCTAAACCCTAAACCCTAAACCCTAAACCCTAAACCCCCCTTAACCCTAAACCCCCCTGAACCCTCAACCCTAAACCCTCAACCCTAAACCCTAAACCCTAAACCCCCCTTGAACCCTAAACCGTTTAGGGCTTAGAGTTTCGGGTGGAATTTGGGTTGGGAGTTGGGGGCTTCGGGTTTGGGGCTCGGAGTTCATAAGGTTGGTCCAGCAAGCAGAGAGTCAGAACGTGAGAAGAATGTTTTAGGGTTTAGGGTTTAGTGCCCTAAACCCTTAACCCCAAACCCTAAATCCACCCTAAATCCTAAACCCTTGATTCTGAAGCATGCCTCAAGCATTGCGTCTAAGAACGACCGAGGGAGGGGCCCCCCAACTAAAGCTGAAAACAGCAAACCTGAACCCTAAAGAAACCCTAACCCCTTAGTCCTAAATCCTGACCCTTGAACCCTAAACCCTAACCCCTAAACCCTGAATAGTAAACTCTCAGCCCTGAACCCTGAACCCTAAACCCTTGGCTCCTGAGGCTTCGGTACCTTGCCAGCGCCCTTGGCCCTAGTGAGATCTGGACAGGGTTCAGGGTTCAGGGTTCAGGGTTCAGGGTTCAGGGTTCAGGGTTCAGGGTTTAGGGTTGAGGGTTGAGGGTTTTGGATCTAGTTCCAAAGCCCTAACCCTGAATTCTGGCCAAGACGCTCTGTCTCCTCGAAATCGCACTTTGTCTCACCACCTCATAGCTTATTACTCTAGGGGTAGTTTCGGTTTAGGGTTTAGGGTTCATAGGGTTTAGGGCTTATAGGGTTTAGATTAGTTTCATGGGCCCTTAATATGATCCCATACCTCCTTTAAATGGTTCTGGTGTACGGGATTTCTTTAGGGCATATACGGGGTATGTAAGGGGTCCCCTTCGGGCCCATACTAGGGGGCTGTGAAACTACCCCAAGACTTACAGCCTCAAGCAAGCCCTACGTCGTGCTTGCTTTGGGGATACCGCGCTACTCCACTTAAGCTTTTTGGGTTTAGAGTTCTTTGGGGGTGCTTAGGCTCCAGAGGCCTTCTGGGGCTTATAGCTTTTGGGGATTGATGATGTTGGGAGGGGGGGGGGGGGGAAGTTCTGGGGTGCTGAACTGCTTAGGGCTTATGGGTATGTAGGCTTTGAGGCTTGCGGCTCTAGAGGGGTAAACGGGTACTGAACGACTTTGATTAAGTTCTAAGGGGATCGTTGGGGCTAAGTAGAATCTTGGGGGTATTGGGTACTGATCTACTCAGGGGTATTTAGGGTTTACGGTTGAAGTCTAGTATACGGGGTGTGTTGGGCTCTGACCCTAAACCCTAAACCCTAAACCTAAACCCTAAACCCTAAGCCCTAATCTGTTAGGTTTGTTGAATAGTACTGAACGATGCAATGTTAAAATGCCACGATCCTTACGAGGATGGCGTACGTATACAATGTGTATATGTTCTGGTTTAGGGTTTAGGGTTTAGGGTTTAGGGTTTAGGGTTTAGGGTTTAGGGTTTAGGGTTTAGGGATTAGGGTTTAGGGCTTGGGGTTTAGGGTTTAGGCTTTAGGGTTTAGGGTTTAGGGTTAGGATTCGGGGACTGTTGGGGACATCAAAGACCCCCTTACAGAGAGCCAAGAGAGGATCACAGAACGGGGTAAGAAGGGATCCCCCTATGCCCTGTGAGGGGTCTTCCTGTTCCCACCCGTTCGCTGTAGCCGTTGCAGGCTTTGGGCGAGACGATCTTAAGCAAACACAAACTCCCGCACTACTACATTCGAACCCTCAACCCCGAAAGTCCGCCCAAGAAGCCAAGAAGCCCCAAACCCCAAAACTCTTAGTCCCAAAAAACCCTCAGCCCTCGATGAATTGCGTGTGGCCCAGTGGCCACTGCAACGCTCGTCCCAGAGCTTGCTTGGTCGAAGCCGATACTCAAACCAGCCCTGGGGGGCCTGCGCAGAAAAGGTTTTAGGGTTCAGGGTTTCGGGTTGAGGATTTGGGGTTTAGTGTGTAAGACTTAGGCTTTAGGGTACGGGTTTCGGGATCAGGTTTATGGGAGGTTTCTGGGCAGCTGGGTTGGGTTTCGGTCTGCTGTTTAGGGTTTTCGGGCTCTGCGGTGGCCCTAAAGACATCGAATGTCCATGAGCTACATGGGGCTATTTTGGCTTCCCCTTAACTCTGCACCCTCAACCCTAAACCCTAAACCCTTAAACCCTAAACCCTAAACCCTTATACAATTGTGTACCTAGGCGTCAGGGCCCCTCGAGTAGCAAGTGAGCGATACCACCCCAAAGGGCTTTTGGGGTTTGGGGTTTTCTTCGGGTTTGTGGTTCAGGTTTTTGGGGGGTCAGAAGTATAATTACCCTCAAACTCTCAATCCTAAAGACTGACTGAACCAGTGATATGTGGGAGCTGCAGTACTGTAGACCCAAGCTTAGGGTAGCTACATGGTCCCTTCGTATGGGCCCCCGAATGGGTAACCCCCTATATACCTCCTTTGATACCCTGCAAAAGCCAAGGGCCCATACTTCAGAACCCTTTAAGGAAGCTAAGGGGGCCCTATGAAGGGACTGTGTAACTAGCCTTAGACCCACGGCTCAGACGGCCTCGACCCTAAACCCAGGGACTCGGGTTTCGGGTTGGAACTCGCAGACCCAGGGATACGAGTCCTTAAAGCCGAAGAAGGGGCAGTAGAGGCAGTCCCGGCTTTTTGGGGTTCAGGGCTTTAGGCAAACCCTAAACCCTAAAACCCGAAACCCTTAAACTTTAAACCCTAAAACCCTAAACCCTTAAACCCTTAAACCCTAAACGTACAAAGAGGATGTATGAATAGTCCATCTTGCTGGGCACTGGGTGCTATCAACTGGGGCACTGATGGGGTGCTAAGCCTGGGGGACCTTCTGCCCCGAGTCTCGGAGAGAGAGAGAGAGAGAGAATGAAAGAAAGAAAGACATAAACAAAGAAAGAAATAATTTACTTCGAACATACCCACCTTAGCACTCCTCGGTCTCTGGGTTGGGCACTCCAGGGAGTCTCTGGGGTTGGGCACTCCAGGGAGTCTCTCAGGTTGGGCACTTTAGGGAGACTCTGGGTTCGGGCACTGCAGGAAGACTCTGAGGTTGGTCTCTGGGTTGGGTGCTCCAGGGAGACTCTGGGGTTGGGCACTGCAGGGAGAGTCTGGGGTTGGGCCTCTGGGTTGGGCATTCCAGGGGGTCGGGTTGGGCACTCCAGGGAGTCTCTGGGGTTGGGCACTGCAGGAGTAGACCGGGCGAGGAGAAGAGTTCCGGGCGAGGAGAAGAGTTGAGTTTAAAATCTGACAACCCCACACCGAAGGTGGAGAAATAAGAATCGAGAAAGAGACAAAGAAAATGAAATAAAAGGAAACAAAAGAAAGAAATAAACAGAAAATAAATGAAGAAAGAAAGAACAACCAATAAGCCTCAACACGTAAACACTAAAACCTAGACCCGACACGAAATTCGCACCTGGAGGACACCTTAAACCCTTAACTCCCAGAACACCAAATCTTGATTGCCCAAACCCCAAACCTCAACTCATTTACATGAGTAGGGTTTAGGGTTTAGGGTTTAGGTTTAGGGTTTAGGGTTTAGGGTTTAGGGTTTAGGGTTTAGGGTTTAGGGTTTAGGGTTTAGGGTTTAGGGTTTAGGCCTTCGGGCCTAGGGTTTAGAGCAATGGGTCGCTCAAAGTATCCGTTCATCGCCAATCAGGCAAGTTGCCTTGGCGTAGCACGTGACCTCGAAGAGTTGTTTGGCGATGGCAAGGTTAGCGTTTGCGCAAGACCCCAAAATCAGGTCCCCCCTTGTGTACCCCGAAGAGTCAACGAGAAAAACTGGAAGGCCTGTTCTGTCAAACTAGGGTTGCAAGGAAAATGGGCACTTCGGGCCTTCCTAGTCCACTTTTTCGGGATGAAGGATTCAAGGTGTAGTGCTTGAGCCTCTAACCTGAGAAACCTGAGAAAGGGGGGGGGGGGGGTGGTTTAAGGGTGCGAGGCTGACGGATTCAGGGTGTAAGGTTCAACCCTGAACTTTAAGGGTTTGAAGGCGTAGGGGTTTTTGGCTTGGGGTTTGGGATGTAAGCTTTCGGGTGCAGGGCTGAGGGCTTTTCAGCCCAAAAACCCTATAAATCCCTAAGCCTGACCGCGCGAACATGTTGAGTTGATGGGCCCAAGGGTCAGGGGAGGAGGCCGCGGGTACTCTGACCAGGGTTTATGGGTTCAGGGTCCTAAACCGTAAACCATACATTATAGGGCTTAGGGGTTTATAGCGTTGTTTTGCTTGCGGTTTGGGGTTTAGGGTGTGGGGTTCCGGGTTTGGGGTTTGCGGCGGTTAGGGTTGAGGGTTGAGGGTTTAGGGGGCCAAGGGTTAAGGGTTAAGGGTTTAGGGTTTAGGGTTTAGGGCACAGAGCTTCCTCTGGCTGAAGTGCAAACCCCCAAACCCTATCCTAAGAGCCAAGAGTAACCTAGAGACCCAAGAAAAAAAAAGGAATAAGGGCCCAGTACCTCGGTCCCTGCCGGTGACCTCACCTCAGAATCCTCTAAGGGGCGTTATACTCATAAGTCGGGATGTTCCCCCTTCTGCTAACAGTTCTTAATGGGGATTTATACTACGTCCTACCAGTACTAGCAAGGCGGCATCATCTTCGTCGATGTAGTTGCCGTACCCCATCTCGATGTCCCCGAACATGTGGCACTCCTTCGTGCGCCTGGGAGGTTGGGCGGGGTTTAGGGTTTAGGGTTTAGGGTTTAGGGTTTAAGGTTTAGGGTTCAGAGTTTAGGGTTTAGGGTGTAGGGTTTAGGGTTTAGGATTTAGGGTGTAGGGTTTAGGGTTTCGGGCTTCGAGGCCGAGTGCTTCAAGGGCGAGGCCATACAGCCTTTCTTGACCAGGCCTTTCTTTGTTGAGTCGTGCCAGCTCTCCGAAGTCGTTCCAGGCCTAGAGCCCCCTCAACCCTAAGAACACTAGGAACCCCAGGGACAGAATAAGAACCCTAAAGCCAAAACACTCTACAACCCTAACACACTCAAACCCCCTAAACCATAAACCCTAAACCCTGAACCCTAGACCCTAGACCCTAAACCCTAAACCCGCAAACCCTGAAACCCTAGGAGCACCAGAAAACCTAAGAGACCTAACAACCCCAAAGCCCCTAGATCCTTAAGCACCCTAGCAATCCTAAGAAACCCAAGAAACCCAAAGGCCCCAAGTACCCTAAATTCCAAAAAACCCTTTTTGGGTACCCATTCTAAGGCGGCCCCCTATTACAAAATGATCCCCAAGCAGGGACCCGAATTAGAGAACTGCCCATATGAAGCCTAAGCCTGCTCCCGGCTAGCGCCTTACAGCTGCATGGATGGGACGGACTGCGAGGTGTTTGGGGTTTGGGGTTTGGGGTTTAGGGTTTAGGGTTTAAGGTTTAAGGTTTAGGGTTTAGGGTTTAGGGTTTAGGGTTTAGGGTTTAGGGTTTAGGGTTTAGGGTTTAGGGTTTAGGGTTTAGGGTTTAGGGTTTAGGGTTTAGGGAACCCCCGAGTCTCCGGCTGTCAGACGGCTGAAACACCAAGCTCCCAAGTGAGGCCCAGTGTCTTGCTGCACCCTCTGAGAACCTCAATGCCTTGGGGTTGAAGAAAAAACCTTATGAACCCTGAGCCCTGAACACCTAAACCGTAAACACTAAACCCTAAATCCCAAAGCCCTCAAAACCAATCCCCAGGAACCGCAAACCCCCCGCCTCGAGACCCCTAAGCCCCAAACTCAAAAGCTCCCTAAGCCCTCAAAACCTCGGACTACGCCCCTAAGGCCTAAACCCTAAACCCTAAACCCAAAACCCTAAACCCCAAGCTAAACACTCCGTGCATTATAAGCTGCTCATTGAAGGACACGGCCGTGCAGTCCTCGCGAAGAGGCGAGTGTCGCCGAGGACAAGGTTGCAAGGCTTGGCTTTGGGGTTTGGGGTTTGGGGTTTAGGGTTTAGGGTTAAGGTTTGGGGTTTAGGGTTCCGGGTTCCGGGTGTAGGGTTTAGGGCTAGGGTTTAGGGTTTAGGGTTGCGGGAACCCGAACCCTAAACCCTAAACCCTAACCCCTAAACCCTAAACCCTAGGGTTTAGGATTTTGCCTAAGCCCGAATTCTTCGGGATGAAGCCAACCCAATGGATTTATCTTCCAGATACCTCAAATCGTAGACGGACTAGTAGGTTTAGGCTGTAGGGTTTAGGGTTTAGGGTTTAGGGTTAGCAAAACAGCATAGGGTACCATTTTCTAGCTAACCATGCTAACCTGAAACCCGCAGCCCCTAAGCCCTAAACTCTGAATTTCAGAAGGAGGGTAATGAGCACTTGACAGAGGTTTAGGGATGTGTCCAAAAGGCACTGAACACGCTAAACCCTAAACCCTAAACCCTAAGCCCTAAACCCCAAAGTCTTGTCACAAGCTCTGACGTTTCCACGCTTCAGAACCCAGTCGCCATGCAACTCTGACTGGTTGACAGTGTACCAGACTGTGGCTGAGCATGTGTCACTGCCTGGGCCCCCGGTGTTGTCCGGAACCACTGCAGCACCCGTCCCAGTCCCTCCACTGGGTCCACCACCGCCAACGACGTCCTCATCATTATCTCCACATTGCTCCATCATCTGGGCCACATGGGTTATGACCGGAATCTCGTCCAAGTAATGGTCCCTCATCGGTGACCCCAAACCGCCTGTACTCGCTGGCCAGGGCATTCAAGCACTCCAGCCTAGGCTTGCCATGGACTGAACCCTGGAGCGGCTCCGTTAAGAACTAAGTTAGCTAAAGGACTTATTGCGGTTTAATGGTCTAGAATTTAGGGGGTAGGGTCTAGAGATTCGCATACTATAGGGCTTGTAACCAGCCATGAATCTACTTATGACTTGGAAGCACCTCTTTGTTTTCGGGTTGCCTACACATGGGGGTCGCATGGTCCTCGCCCTCCTCGCACTCTTCTTGGCACGTCGCCAAGTCCTCTCTAGGCTGCACACGACATCTCGGGTCAACCAGGATCCCCCACAGCCTTCTGTAACTTTTGTCATTCTTCGTAGCCCAGTATCCATACGTTGTCCAGTACCTAGGAAAACCAAAGGTTAACCTTCGGGATTATAAGGGGATTCTATTACCCCAAAAAGGTTAAAGGTTGCCTACTCTACGACTAAGATTACAATACCCGTGTTGGAGTTGGCTACTGTATACAAAAGGGTACCACAGAGCTACTAAGAATTGGGCCTGAAGACCCCAGAAGAACCGTACGGCGACTGGGTTGAGGGTTTAGGGTTTAGGATTTAGGGTTTAGGGTTATCCCGAGTCCCGCGAATTCTAAACCCTAAGCCCTAAACCCTAAACCTTTCTTTTGAACCATCAGCCCGGAAAGAAGCTCTCGCGGGTTCTCAAGGAACCAAGGACTAGAAGAAGAAAGGGTGCCTTTTTTGAATGTGTGTATACCACTAAATGTTAAATGCACCAACCAGCGAAGAAAAATAGAACAAAAGGTTGCCTGGACTCTTTGCTCTTCTGCTTTCTCCACAAAACGGACCAAACCCCTGACCCTCAAAACCCTGCTAAAGCTCCAAACCCCAAACCCTGAAACTAGTAAGGGTTTAGGGTTTAGGGTTTAGGGTTTAGAGTTTAGGGTTTAGGGTTTAGGGTTTAGGGTAAACTAGCAGCCTGAAACCTAAGCCCCAATAAGACTTGAGCCGCAGGATGCGGGCCGCAGGACTTGACCCAAGTCCGCAGTGCCTCGACCACGTAACCCAGCGTCGTGGTCGTCGTCGTTGTGGTTGTTGTAAGAAACCTTGGACCCTAAACCCTAAACCCTAAACCCTAAACCCTAAACCCTAAACCCTAAACCCTAAACCCACTACCTGATTCTATGAATGAAGGCAGCGTTCGGAGTTCTGAGTTTAGGAGCGCTGAGGGCTCACACAGGAACTTGCTGTTTTTGCTGCCCCAACTTTGGGAGAAGTGGAGCTTAAGAACTTAAGACGTGCAGGAAGCACACCCAGAGAGAGAAGCCCTCAGCCCTCAGCCCTAAGCCCTAAGCCCTAGGCCCTAGGCCCTAAACCCTAAACCCGAAACTCTTGACCCTGAATGAGAAAGTCCAAGATCCCCCGTAAAGCATAAGCGTGCATGAAGGACTCCGTTTTTGTACTGGGAAGTTCTTCTTCTGAGGAGCCTAGAAATGGGCCACCTCAAAAAGGAGCCCGGCCCTATTGGGAGATATCGAAATGGTCTCGGGTTTAGGGTTTAGGGTTTAGGGTCTCGGGTTTAGGGTTTAAATATACTTTTGCTTCTGAACTCTGACTAACGGGACTTTGGGCTCCCTACTTGAAACCCTTTTAGGCTTTAGAACCCGTTTCGGGTTTAGGGTTTAGGGTTTAGGGTGTTAGGCGAACTCTACTTAAAAATCCCCTACAAGCCCTACTTAATTGAAGTGCAAAGGGCTTCCAAGTAGACCCAGAGCCTAGAGCCCAGACCCCAAACCCTAAACCCTAAAGCCTAAACCCTAAACCCTAAACCCTAAACCCTAAACCCTAAACCCTAACCCCAAACCCTAAACCCTAAACCCTGAACCCTAAACCCTAAACCCTATGTCCGGAATGCTCTGGCTTGCATGGATAAGGCGCGGGCCTCTGCAAAAGGGCCCAATTCAGGGGCCCTAACCCCTAAACCCTAAACCCCAAACCCTAAAGCGTCTAGGGTATGGAGTCTAGGGTTTAGGGTTTGGGGTCTGGGGTTTAGAACCAAAGTTGAGGGTCTTGTGGTTGAGGGTTCAGGGCTTTGGGGGGGTTTGTAGAGTTTGAGCCTATATCTTTGAAGGCTCAGAAGACTTGTGGCTGCCAAAGCCCTCAACCCTAAACACGCAAAATGAGGTTTAGGGTTTAGGGTTTAGGGTTTAGGGTTTAGGGTTTAGGGTTTAGGGTTTAGGGTTTAGGGTTTAGGGTTGAGTGACCCTCCGGTGCTTACCCTAAGGGTCAATGTACCTTACTATTTTATGCATAGGCCCCAAAGTATTTCTACAGGAAATCCTTTAAGGCCCAAGTATTCCCTGTTCAGGTAAATGGACCCGTAGGGTTGGGATCGGGGTTTAGCGTTTGGGCGTGCGGAAGCCCGCAAAACCTAAACCCTAAACCCTAAACCCTAAACCCTGAACCCTAAACCCTAAACCCGAAACCGCGTGTTGAGCAAACTGTGCCGTCCAAGGAACAGGGTGGTGGTCGTGGTTGTCTGGAGGGAGGAGTCCTCCCTGAAGAAGATGTGAAGATATTTGACCGGTATCCGCAAGTGGTTGTGCCAGGAATACCTCGCAAGCGGGTTTAGGGTTTAGGGTTTAAGGTTTAGGGTTTAGGGTTTAGGGTAAGTTTAGGGACAGGCAAAAGACGCTTCCAGACACCGCAAACCCGAAACCTTCACCCCTAAAAACCCTAAGCATAAATCCACTTGCAAGAACAGGCTGCTGGCAATGGGTCGCGGGGCTGCTGGGTTTAGAAACCCCAGACCCCAAATCGACATCTCGTGTACTGGCGCACAGCTCAATTCCTACACTAAGGCCTTAAACCCTAAAGCCCAAACCCTAATTCGCCGGAATGTAGAGCCTGGAGCCCTGTTCTCGTGCTGGGTACCCTAAACAGGTTTGGCCTTGGGTTTAGGATTCTGGCTCCATGTGCATGCAGATGGCAGGTGGTTGTTGGTGTGGTACATGCCGGTCTGCCAACATCGCCTGCCAGGAATCTGGATGTTCACACCCAAACATTAGACCTGGGACCCCGAACCCCAAACATTAAGCCCTTGACGCACAAGCTCACACTTCCAAGCCCTGACTGGCCTAGGCTTTGGTTGGGGGGGGGAGTGGGGCACGAGGGGGGAGGGGGGCGGAAGGGGGGGCGGGGGGAGGGAGGGGGGGATGTCTTGTTGTGCCAAAAAACATAAGCTGAAATTTCGCCTGATACCCCCCCCCCCCCCCAAGTTTGGGGGGCAGGTGCTGCCCCAACGATCACCTATGGACCTCTCAAAGCAATCTCGGGGACAATCTTCGGAATCTCCACATGCCTGTATGGATCGATCCTGATTACATCGCCCTAAACCCTAAACCCTAAACCCTAAAACGTAAACCCTAAACCCTAAACCCTAAACCCTAAATCCTAAACTTACACACACACACACATGCTTTCCTTCCAAGCGTTTTGGGGTGGGTGAAAAGATTCAGGGGTCGCAATGAAGTGTTCTGGCGGGTGGGTGTCTGGGGGTCTGGTCACGGTCGTCTGGGGGACTTGGGGAGGGCCTGTTGTCAAGAAGGCTCTACTTTGGCTGGCTTTCAAGGGTTCTGAGCTGCTCTGGCAGTCTCTTTCCCAACTCTGCGACCGCGACCCTCGCTTGTTGTCATAGCAGGGGCTCGCAAGGGTACCCTTTCCGGATTTGTTGTTTTGCTGTCGCACCCCGACGTATAAGGATGTAAGCAAGGAAGCCGCTGTTTTGAGATCTCTGGAAGCCACGGTGGGGGGGGGGGGGGGGCCAGGGTGGGGATACCATGGAGGGTGGGGGTGGGGGGGGCCTAAACCCTAAACAATAAAGCCACCAATTGGGGGTGGGGGGGAGGTTAGGGACAATGTGGTGTAGAAAAATGGGTTTAGGGTTCAGGGTGTAGGGTTAGGAATGAACCCTAAACCTGAAACCCGAAACTTAACTCCTATATGAACACTAGTCACTATGTAAGCATGTGCTAAAAAAAACATACAAAACGCTCACCAACTAACAGCAGTATCAGAAAAAGCCCACTCCACATGGCTTGGGGGCTTAGGATTTGGGGGTTTGGGGTTTAGGGCTTAGGGTTACCCTAAACCCCTAAACCCCTAAACCCCTAAACCCCTAAACCCTAAACCCCTAAACCCCTAAACCCCTAAACCCCTAAACCCCTGAACCCCTGAACCCCTGAACCCCTAAACCCCTAAACCCCTAAACCCCTAAACCCCTAAACCCCTAAACCCCTAAACCCCTAAACCCCTAAACCCCTAAACCCTAAACCCGAAACCCTAAACCCTAAACCCCAAACCCTAAGCTTTTTAGGGGTTTAGGGTTTAGGGCGATTCGCCCGAGCCGCCTGTACCAGAAACCACCCAGGTAGCCGTGGTTGTCTTTGGCGCAGTTCGCGCCCCAGGCGTCCTAGAGGTCGGTGTTAAGGGGCCTTTAGGGCGTATGGGGTTTAGGGTTTTAGGGTTTAGGGTTTAGGGCTAGGGTTTAGGGTTTGGGGTTTAGGTTTTGTAGGATTTATAGGGCTGCTTTTAGTTTGGGATGATCCCCCCCTTATACTAACCGTCCAAAATGTGTATTATAAAAGGGGTACTATACTTAATCCTTATTTTGGAGTGTTAGCATAAGCGTGAACATCGCAGCTTGTAGGGGTCCATTAAGGTTTATATAGGGTTTGTGGGGGTTATAGGGGAATTCTAGGGTTTGTGGGTTTCTTTTTCGGGTTTCTGGCTTTAAGATTCAACTAATGTTTGCTTTTTGCTTACGGCTTCTTAAGGTTTGTAGGGGGTTAGGGGGCGAATAGGGTTTGGCGTTTGGGGCTTCGGGGAAATAGCGGTTTCAGGGTGTAGGGTGCAGGGTGTAGAGAGGCCTTATAGGATCGAAACCCGTTTTCCACACATCACTTTGTAATATATAGGGGCCTGAATAATTTGAATGAGGATTGGGGTTCTTATGGAATATTTAT